AAGAGTGTCCCACAAGAGTGTCCCACAAGAGTGTCCCGCAACAGTGTCTCACAAGAGTGTCCCTTAAGAGTGTCCCGCGAGAGTGTTCTATAAGAGTGTCCCACAAGAGTGTCCCACAAGAGTTTCCTACAAGAGTGTCCCACAAGAGTGTCCCACAAGAGTGTCCCACAAGAGTGTCCTACAAGAGTTTCCTACAAGAGTGTCCTTTTAGAGTGTCCCACAAGAGTTTCCTACAAGAGTGTCCTACAAGAGTGCCCCACAAGAGTGTCCCACAAGAGTGTCCTATAAGAGTGTCCCACAAGAGTGTCCCACACGAGTGTCCCAGAAGAGTGTCCTACAAGAGTTTCCTACAAGAGTGTCCTTTTAGAGTGTCCTGAGAGAGGGTCCTACAAGAGTGTTCTGTAAGAGTGACCCACAAGAGTGTCCTACAAGAGTGTCCTACAAGAGTGTCTCACAGAGTGTCCGACAAGACCACAAGAGTGTCCTACAAGAGTGTGCGACAAGAGTGTCCCACAAGAGTGTCCCACAAGAGTGTCCCACAAGTGTCCTACAAGAGTGTCCCACAAGAGTGTCCTACAAGAGTGTCCCGCATGAGTGTCCCACAAGAGTGTCCCATAAGAGTGTCCCGTAAGAGTGCCCCACAAGAGTGTCCTACTAGAGTGTCCCACAAGAGTGTCCCACAAGAGTGTCCCAGAAGACTGTCGCACAAGAGTGTCCCACAAGAGTGTCCCGCAAGAGTGTCCCACAAGATTTTCCGACAAGAGTGACCCACAAGAGTGTCCCACAAGAGTGTCCTACAAGAGTGTCATTTGTAGCATTCGGGTTCGTGGGCTCCATCTTGTTTTTTTTCAATGTCGGCATTTTTCTCGGTGGAATTTTACATCGGAATATCACGTGTGTAGCATACTATACGTTATATAAAACTGTGTCGAGCTTTGGGCAGGTTTGGGTGCACAGTCTTCATTACATTTGGTACACTGTCCATTTTGGCTCAAGCCAAAAGTGGGACAGTGGAGTTTCTGTTCTGCTTAAGTTTTGCTGTGTGTGCTGTGGATGGCTTCACAGCCGATCGTCGGTGTGCATGTCGCCATGTTCACGGCTGCTGAGGTGCTTTCGTCCGCCGCGTTCATCGAGTTCCGTCGCCAGGTTGATGCCCTTTTGGCCCGGGGGGACCGGGCAGGCGCGCTGCGGCTTTGGAGCTCGGTGGTTCTATTCGAACGCCCGGGGGACGGGCCAGTCGGTTTTCCCCCTATGCGGATCTCAGTCTGTCCTAAGAATGCATGCCCACGGTGCGATCAGGGGCGAGGGGGCTATGTGTTCCTGTGGGTCGGGATTTGGAACCAGCGCGGGACGATCGTGCCACCAGGGTTCACTCCTCAGCAGGCCTGGGATAGGCATGCTCGGTTGGCGGCTGCAATGGACCTCCTCTTGTTGCAGCCCTACCGTACCCCGTATTCTGCAGAGAATTTTGTGCCCTCATACCTGTGGGAGTTCCAGCAGAAGGTTCCCGGGGATTTTGACCTCTTGCCCCTGCAAACCTTTCAATCTGAAGTTCTCTACTACATGCGGCGCTGGATCTGGGATCACCGCACGGGTTGTGGTCCAACCCCTTTCGTGCCCCGCTGCCAGATATTGAGCACTTGCCGCGCCATTTGGACGCTCTTCACCCGAAGATTCGTGCCCATCGAGCCCTTCGTGGATGGTTGGGGTCCTCAATCAACGGAGAGTCCGAGTTTCCTCCAGCGTGTTGCGGCTGTGGCGATCCCACTTATCGGCAGTGCCTTGGTTGTATCAAAGGAGTGTGTTCCGCCTGCTTCCCAGTGCTCCAAATCTGTCCGGTTTGCCGCGAACTTTCGTCGTCTGATGACGATATAGTGGGTAGTTCAGCGCGGGTGCGCAAGCCATGGTGTACCGTGCGCAAGTCGCTGGAGCTGTGGACGCTCCGCCGGATGAGCCGGCCTCGTCCTCTGGTTGGCGGGCCGAAGATAGTCTCGCCCGCGTGGCAGGGGCCCGAGCCATTACATGGCGCCGTGAGCGTGGCTATGAGAAGGACGAGGACTTTGCATTTGCCTTCTCTACCTGGGAAGAAGCTGGCTGGCAGTCCGTGTTGCCCAGCAGGAGGAACTTCTTCCTGCAGCTGCTCGTTTGATCGAGGGGGGACCTCTGTTGCCGGATACACGTCCTCCGCTGGCTCGCAAGAGGAAGGAAGTTCCACTTGAGGCGGGGGTACGCCTTCATGAACGCGTCCAGGACCAGCCTGAGTCCATACAGCGCCAGGTGTTGGCCCTGCAGAAGGTGTTCCTGACGGTCGGTGCATTGAAGCCAGTTGGCCTGTTGACTGAGGCCCTGAAGCGGGATTGGCAGGCATCCGTTCTTCGTTTGGCCCAAACCAAGGTGGCGGAGTCCGAGTCGGTGACGATTCAGAACGCCCTCCGTACCTACGGGGAGCTCCACGCCTTCTTGCTCCACCGTGGGAGGTCGTTTCCTCCGGACTTTGTGGACATGGACAACTTCCTGCATCAGGGGACGATGGCCCCTACCCGCGCTCAATGCGCTTCGCTGGTTGTGCAAGCATTCAGGAGCTCCTTGGGAAGTCGGCCGTCTTCGTATCTCCCCCGAGTTGAAGAAGAAGGCCACCTCGACGAAGAGCCAAGCCCTTGTGGTGGAGCCCGGCATGCTGCAGTTGTTGGAGGAGCGCATTGAGAGCATGTGCCGTGGGGGGGGCCCGCGATGGACATGTCTCTTGGGCTCATGGCTTGTGGCTACTGGTTGCTGGCGGTACCAGCATCTCCGTCGATCCACTGTTCGTCGAATCAGTCCACTGGTGTTCCATGGCCATTGTCGTAAAGGCAAGCAGCGTCACGCCCGGGGTGGATTCGATTGGTGTGCTCCTGCTGAGTTTGCCTCCGGCTTCAACTGGACGGTTGATTGGCTCAAAGCCTGGAAAGCCCTCTCTCCAGTGGCCCAGAAGAGTGCAGGGATCTGCTTCGACAGGCGTGGGACGCCTTGGAACATTGCTGAGGTGCAGCACCTCTGCCAGTCCATCTTTGCCGAGTTCCTGGACAATACTGAGCAGTTGACCACCTACTCATGGAGGCGCATGCTGCCTACAGTGGGCCACATTCTGAATCTGCCGTCCTCTGACCTTTGTTCCCTCGACGATTGGCAGGACAAGTCCAAGGAGCCGGCTGAGGCGGGAATGGCATTGCACTACTCGTCCGCTCGCTATGCCCAGTCGCTTCGCAATAAGATCCTGACCACTTCAGTGGCCCACAGCTGTGAGGGTCACAGCTTCTGGGAGGAGGTGCTTCCTGCCGACTTGGATGGTTTCCGTGAGGTGGCCAAAGAATCGCTTGCCTTGGCCATTGCGAAGGACAAGGAGACGCGGTATGCTGCCCAGCCAACCACCTCCAGTTCTCCAGGGCCAGGGTCGCGAAAGCAGCGGCCAATAAAATTCGAGGAAGCACCTCGCGCCAGACGGTGTCCATGCCGGATGCCATCAGAGGCCGCGTGCTGACGGCTTTTTTGAAGAATGGGCGTCGCCTTTGCGGGGCTTTCCAGACGCCCGAAGGTTGCACGGAGGGTGAGGAGGTTTGCGGAACGCTCACCTCTGCACTGTGCTTTTGGCCCGAGGGCGGGCTTGTGGAGGAAGCCACGGTGCATTTATTTGCACCGAAAAGAAGTATTTGCCGGCAGAGACGCCAGTTCCCGTTCGAGCGTCGACGGCATC